CCCTCGGGAGGGCAGAACTCGCACAGGTTCATGCTCCATGGCCCCGTGCAGGGCAGGGAGGGGGCTTCTCGGCACCCAGTCCCCACCCCACCCCTGGTGCCCAGGGGGTGCAGGCTGGCTGCCATCCTAACTGACTTACAAACTTGTGCCCGACCGCTCAGGGGAAGCCGACTGTAAAAAGAAAAAGATAAAGCTGCCCGAGCCCCCGGAGCAAGAGGTCACCCCCGTGAAAGGTATGGCCCGTCCTCTCCTGCGCAGCGGGGCTCTGCGTCCGGTTGAGGGGAGGGACTTCCGGTGTTGCTGTTAGGAGACCCTTTCCCGTGGAAGGTGCTCTGCACCTACCGCCGGGCCTCGAATCCAGTTGCTTATCTTGGAGCCGCGCTCCAGCCCTGCGTCCCAGGGGTACACCCTACTGGGCCACAGTGTGCACTTGCCTTGTAGATTTCTGAGCGGGTTTGGTGGCAATATGTGGGACGCATATGTCCCAGGTGGGCTCCGGGGAGGAGTGGTCGGTGGGGCGGTGCTGGCATCTTTAGGATCACGCAATGATGCGGGCCCCCACCGGGGGGCAGCAGGTGGTTCGGCTGCTTCCTGTGGGTGAAGAGTGTTAAGCTCTGTTGAACCAGCCTCTCATAGCTACCTGGCCACGCAGGGAGATGACGCCTTCTTGACGGGCAGGGCTGGGAAGGGGGCTCAGACCCTATTACTACCCGTGTGGGTCAAGCTCCAACCGATCTCACTGTCACTGAGTGGATGCGGGCTCAGTGAGTCCTGCAGGACAGGGAATAACTGCCCCTGTGGGTTTCCAGACTAACTGCAGCTCCAGGTAGAAAGGCCCATCTTTCTCCTTCGGAAGGGCTGGGGGTTTCAAACAGCTGACCTTGAGGACGGCAGCTCGACATGTAACCTTTAAGCCCACTGCCAGGGTTCCTGTGTGGGTGAGCACCTCCGATTCCTGCCAGGTTCCTCTGCCTCCATTCTCCCTTAAAGCCTCTCAGGGCGGGAGCCGGGGGCAGGCTGGGTGCTGGGGCTGCAGTGGAGCCATTGTTTCTAGAAGAATCCTGCCTTGCCAGGTGAGCTTCTTCCCTTCCTGGTGGTTGGGATCGGAGGACCAGGCCATGCAAGTTCTCCACCCGCCCCACCAGCATTTCTGGATCGCTGACCCGCTCTGCCATGGTGTCAGCTCGGCCCCCCCGCCATCCCCACCTTTACTGTGCTGCCAGGCCATCTCTGTGAGGGTCTTCCTCTCTGTGGCTGGCTCCGACTTCACCCTGCTGATGGACAGGTCTGGTGAACAGACATCCCAGGGTCTCTGACCAGTCTGCCCTCTCCCCTCCCTGTGGCGAGCCTGCCTCTCCTCCTGCTCCGTGCCCAGGGGGACATTGAGGGGCACCCGCCAGCATTTTTCCAGGGGCTTCCTGTTGTGTTCTCTGTAAGAGCTGGCATCCTGAGATGGTGAGAAAGCTGGCACCCTCAGCAGTGAATGGAAAGGCTGGCGGTCCAGATTCACGCAGACGTGGCTCGGCAGAAAGGCCTGGTGGCAGTTCTGGACAGCCTCCCATACAGAGTGGCGATGGCCTTTCCTGGTTTGCTTGTTGTCTGTGGGGTCCTCGGCTCATTTCGAGTCCGGCTGTTCGGCTCCCCGCCCTGCTCCCTGCGTGTGTCAAAACCCCCACGGCCTTGGTGAAGGCGCAGGTCTCTGGCAGGAGTTGGTCATGTGCCGGGACCTGGGTGGTGATTACCGATCCTGGCTTCCTTCTCTGTAAGCAGTTCCGGTCTTAGACACTCTCAGGGGTAGTGCTATTCCGTCCTACAGCGTTGCTTGATGACAGCGCGTTGGGTTTGGCTTGGCTCCTAGTAAGCGCTGGCACCGTCATTCACGTGACTGCCGCACCTGGGCCATGAGCACGCTGAAGGGTGCACGCACCTGGGCCATGAGCACGCTGAAGGGTGGTACATCAGCACAGAAGCGGGACCGTGTACCTGGGCCATGTGCCTGGCCTGTCGGCGAGCCTGGACCTGCAGGGTGAGACCAGCGGGGTCTCTGCTCCGGCGTGCTGCTGAGGCTGGCCTCGGTCGGCATGTGGACCCCTGTCCAGGGAGCAGGATGGCCACGCAGAAGCAGAGTCATTAGGTGGACGGGTAGTACCGCGTGCCCAAACACCTGAGCTGTTTTCCTTGCAGCGGCAGGTAAATTCAACTGGAAGGGGACTATCAAAGCAGTTCTGAAACAAGCCCCCGACAACGAGATCGCCGTGAAGAAGCTCAAGAAGAAGGTACGGCGTCTGAACCTGCCCAGTCCCTCCTGGCCTTCAGACGCCGTCAGTCTTCCCCTGGCGTGCCGGGTGGTGGGAGTGTGTGTGTGTGTGTGTGTAAATGTATGCGGTGTGTGTGTGAGGGAGTAAGTGTGTGTCTGCAGTTGTGTCTGAACATGCTACAAGGATGTGTGCGAGTTTGGGGTCTGTGAATGAGTATAAGCAGGTGGACAAAAGTGTGGTGAGAATGTAGGGGGTTGTGAATGAGTGTGAGTGTGGACCCATGTCTGAATGAGTGTGTTGTGTGTGTGCGTTGAGTGTACGTGTGTCTTCCTTGGGGATTTTATATCTGCCCCCAGTAGCCCCTGGGGTACCTGCGGGAAGACATTGGATAAAATCCCATCGTACTTGATCAGCCAGGGGGCGGCTCCAACATTTGGAGTGGCTTATGATGTTTTGTTTTAAGAACAAACCCACTGCCACAGTCACGGTGACTGTAGGACAGAGTAGATCGCCTCCTGAAGATTTCTGAGACGGCAAATCCTTACAGAAGCAGCCAACCTCGTCTTTCTCACAAAGAGCAGCTGGTGGGTTTGAACCACCGACCTTGTAGCCCAGTGCTCACCCACAGTGCCCTCAGGGCCCCTTTGTGTGAAGTGTGGCTTCCATCTGACTTCCTCGGGCGGGAGCATTGTCTCCATGCAAGGCTGTGTCGTGCTTAGCCTGGCACCCATACAACTTCCCCAGCAAATCAGTTGCTGGTCTCCCATTTTCCTCTCTCTCTCCCGCTGCTCCTGAGTTTTGTATTTTTTTAAAGAAGGAGGCCCTGGTGGCACGGTTCGATAAGCATTGGACTGCTACTCACAAGGTCAGGAGTTCAAAACCACCAGCTGCTCTGTGGAAGAAAGATGAGGCTATCGGCTTCTGTTATGATTTGTAGCCTCGGAAGCAGTACATGGACCGGGCCCAGCTGGATGGCCATGAGTCACAGACGGCAGAGTCCCCGAGTCCGTGCCCAGGGTAGGTGGGCCTCTCTGATATCTGTCTTCTCTGCGCAGGTGCTGGCCCAGTACTACAGCGTGGCGAGCGAGCAGCACAGGTCGGAAGAGGAGCTGCTGGTCATTTTTAACAAGAAAATCAGCAAGAACCCTGCCTTCAGGGTGCTGAAGGACAAGGTGAAGCTTCTGAAATGAACACGTTCGCATTCCAGAAACGAGTCCTGCCCGTCACCCGCCTCCCTCACCAGTTAGGAGGCATGATGAATTCTCACGGCCCACCATTTGCTTCCCCAAACTGTATTTTTTAAGTTAAAGAAGATATCTATGTGTGTATATTTTTGGTAGAACTTTTATGAGAGAATAAAATATATTCTTGTCCGAAGTGTGTGCTGGTAAAACTCACTGTGAGCATTTAAAAGAACCCAACTGCCATGGAGGGGAATGAGCAGCCCGTGGTGGATCGGGTTGGCCGTGTGTAGGGCTGCTAACTGCAGGGTCAGCAGTTTGAAGCCAGCCGCCCCCCACAGATGGGGCTTTCTCCCCCTTGGCGAGTGAGAGCCTCAGAAGCCCACAGGGCACTTCCACTATGACCTGGAGGGCCCCTAGGGTCGGGACCAACTCGGTAGCCCTGACTGGTTTAGTTTGGTTGGGGGCGTAGTGAGCACTGAAGTGGTGGCTCCCGCCGTGGCCTCTGACTCCTCCAAGTCCACCTGCTGGTGTCCGTTGCCCTCACGTCGGGTAAGAACCCCAATCGAGGGTTACCTGCAGCACCTCAAGCTGGGAAGTGGCGGTTAGCGCAGGGCAGCTGGCCCCAGCGGGAAGGATAATGATGTGTCAGGTACCCCGCCACCATCCTTGGGACCCAGCGCGACTCGATCTCTTCTGCTTCTGTCTGAGTTACAAAGTGGTGGAGACACGCGGGAATAGACGGGTGGGAATAGACGTTTCTTTGTGTTCTTTCATCTTACCCGTTGCAAGCCCCGGGCAGGCTTACACAGAGTCGCTGTTAGATACACCCTTGCTGGACTGGTCCACCTTGTAATTGCCGAGTAAGTACGTGCATGTAAAGGTCGGCCGTCGCTCAGAGAGGGTCAGGCCATTGTGGGCCCACAGAGGTGGTATTGTGAGGCGCTGACATTCTAGCCCCGAGGATCAGGGGGCCCGGGGTCATCCTCAGGTTTCCCCAGCGCCCATCAAAGGCAGGTAGTAAGGATTTCGGGCCACTGGGAATACACGCTGGCTGCTTCCAGCATTGCTCTGGGCCCTTGGCAGCGCACCGAGTCCAATGGTAAGGGTAATGGCATAGGGGAGCCTCTCGGCTGATGATGTACTGCACCGAGGTATCAAATGCCAGTGGAAGACGGCCGCCTCTCCCTCCTTCCACGTTTCAGAAACGGGTGGAGGTGCTGGCATGTTCTCCACAGGCAGGTCTCCGGTACATGTTTCTTTGTCTCTCTTTGCTCACGTTTGAGCTTGAGTTGGCTGAAGGCTCCCGAGCAGACCATCAGCCTCACACTCAACATTTCACACACACACTACTGCCGTCCCTCCGCGCGCCCTCACTGCCCCGCCTCCTCCCTGTCTCCTGCCTCCGTTCCTGCTTTTCCTCGGTGGTAAAACGCTGCCCCCTGGGTCTGGAAGGGCTGGTTATTCGAACAAGGGGGTGAGTTCAGGTCCAGGACTGAAGGGTGACAGGGCTGTAGGCTTGGGGCACCCACGTGCGTTTCCGAACCCCTTTGGTGCTTTGGGATGGATTCTGACCTAGGCTGCTGGCTGTGTCAGGTCTTCAAGGTCAATGGATCAAATTCACTGGCTGCTTGGAGGGAGAAAGACGAGGCTGTCTGCTCTGGTAAAGGTTTCTCAATGCCATCCAGGCCTTTCTGACCCCTAGTGACCCCGTGAGACAGGGTAGTGCTACCCTGTGGGTTTTGCAGGCCCTGTCTTCTGAGAGCAGCTGGTGGCTTCAAACTTTTGGCCTTGAGGGCAGCAACTCAATGTGCAACAACTGCACCCGCTGAAAGTATATGTGTGTATAGAATCTTAATTATATTTGATATATACTATCTAATATATATACATATATAGCAGGACAGTGAAAAAAGAGGAAGACCGTCAAGCTGGAGAGACAGGGCTGTCCTCTTGGCACTTACAGGACTCAAGTTTGGCTGCAATCAGAGTGAACACACATTGTGACAGCCGCTGGCTATTCTTCTGTTTCGTTTGTCCATCTCCATGATGCTCCACAAAGCACCTGCTCCGCTCTGCTCAGCCAGGTTGGAGAACCACTGGCCTCCGGCCTACCCACTGCTGGTCAGTGAAAAGGAGGAAGACCCTCACCAAGAGGGCTACAACAATGGTGTCCAACGTAACAGCAATTGTTAGGACAGTGCAGGACTGCTGTGTTTCATTCTGCTGTCCACGGGGTGCTATGGGTGGGGACTGACAACAGCACCCAAAAAGAGCAGTGCAGCATAACAGGAGATGCCTGGCTTTCAGGAAGAATAACGTCTTGAGATCTTAGCGGCTGGTCTTCAGACAGGCAGCCATCAAAGCGAGACATCAACCAAGTCCACATGGGAGCCGCCTACCAGCCTGTGTGACCCAGGGATTGTAAATATCGAAATCCAAATCCGAAGGGGGGAATTGTCCCAGGGTTTGCAGAAGGCTATGGATGACAGTGGGAACTCCAGATCCATTTGCAGGGCCCCCACATATATTAAGCCTCCCGTGAGCCCCCTCTGACTAGTGGAGGGATGTGAACAGAGCACAGGAAAGTCAACTATAGCAGATGTTGTTATGTGAGAGCGTAATCGTCTATCGTTTGATCTCCCTTTGACCCATTTTTAAGTTGTTTCCATTTCCAATATTTCCTGCTTGCTTTTTGACTGTGGTGTATGTTTTGTCTAGTCACTCTTCCTTTTTAAAAAATGAGTTTGCCTCCTCTTTGTGTTTTGTATGAGTTTCTGTATATGAAAGCCAGGGTAGATAAATCTATAGAGATGCAACTGGGTTAGTAATTACGTAGGGACATAGCAGGAGAGGAT